CTTTCTAGTGATGAACTGTAGGTAGATTGTACACTCCCAGTTTATTTTCACCTTTATATCTGACTTTGTTTGTTTCTTAAAGGGTTACTCCAAATGCCATAACCACTACAGTAATATGAAATGGCCATGGTGCTTGTAGACTGTATGTACACCATTTCATTAAACAGAGTTAAAGAATTTTGCAGCTGGGGATGTAACTCATCTCTGGAAGTGTCATTAACCACCCTAGAATAAGAGTTCTGAGCTGGCTAATGTTAATTCTGTACAAAACAAGGGGTGAAGGTCTGCGCTTTGACTAAAATGAGTAAAAGGGATAAAAACAATTAAAGTTCATCCGAATAAATAAAAAGTATATAAATTAAAACAGTCTCACTGGTGTGCAGTAATGTAATATAAGTCCTCAAGTGTCGCTCCGTCCTTATGATAGGTAGTCCATATATGTGAAGACAAAAATAAGAGAACAAGGCTTCCAATGGTGAAATATTGTATGTCCAAAATGTGGTATATATTCAAAGGAAAGGTATTTAACTCACATTTGTTGGAGCTCTAACCAGCTCTAGGAGAAGAGGCACTTAGTGGTTTAATCCCCACTATCGGATATACTTAAACGGTTGGTCCGTTCGTCCAGCTTGAGGTTTCTTTGTGTATAAAGTACAATAAAAATAAGTATAAAGTTGGTCCTATAATGAAGGGTAACCAAAACTAACTTTTATTGACTAAAATACACTTATTACAACCATTTACGCGTTTCACCTTTAGTCACTTTCCCTTCAAGTTAATCTTTTTTTTCCCTTTGGTTCAGTCCATGGTTTCCTGTCTTCTATCTTATCAGTCTCAAACCTTCCACTTAATTTTTGATTGACTACTAATGGTTAATTATTATATTAAGATGACAGTAGCTTTTAATGATCATTTATAGTAATATATATATGAATTTTCTTAGAAACGAAAGTATTAAAGTTTGAAAGATTTAGTGTTGTATATGAAGTGTACACATTTATTTTGTAATTATTAGCAAATGTCATGCATTTGTTCTTTGAAATTTTAGCACTGAAGATTGTTGACTAAACTGTATTTCCCTATTTTATCATTTATAATATAATTTAATCTTTTTGTGTGGTGGTTAAGCTCACACTATCCATACCTTTTTTGATGTTGGAGACATCACACATGGTCCATATTTGATTGCTTGATGTTTTCAATCTTTAGCAAAACCCAGAGCTTGCACATGTAAAAGTGATCTTCAAGACTTGCGTCTGATTGCTTCATACTAATCTTGCATTTTCTTGGTCTGCAGTCAGACACCAGCTGTGAAATTGTGCTCTCTGTCAAAGTGGATTTCTAGTCATTCATCTGAGAGTTTTCCTGGTATATTTAAATTTATTTTTTAAGTTTAAACAAACTTAGCTTTTTCTCTAAAGGAACAATCCAGGAACCATAACCACTGCATCTCACTGAAGGAACTTCCATTATCATTTTTCTGTGCCAAGTAATGCATTGCAGGTCTTAGCTTAGGAGAGCGAACAGTACTTCCTGGTTTGGAACTTCTGGCTCTATTCAAACTGTTAAAAAATGGTTTGACTATTTACAATGGATTGGCGCCAGGGTCCTCTTGGCAACATAACCATTACAGCACTTGGAGTATTTCTTTAAAGTTACCAAATTAACAGTTTAGAAAATTAATCAATTACATTTTGTAAATGTTCTGTGGGAATATTTTTCTAATGTTTGGATATGCATTTTAAACTTAGGTTTCATTGTGTTTCCCTTTGTGAGGGGCATATTTTGTATATATCATATTATTTGATCATATTAAAAACAAAGACTAAATCTAAGAAAAATTATTAATATTCTCAAAGATCAAGTGCAAATAAATTTCTAGACACCATTCCATATGAAGCGTTTCAAACTTGAGTAAATTGATCTGTTAGTAAGACAATGTGGTACATTTAGCAATGTCATATGAGCAGGATTCCATTATCAAATAATTTTCATTGGCTCTATCCCAGGCTAACTTGGGATCAAGTTTAGAATTCTGTCCGAATTCACTATCCAAATCCCTTTTGTTGACAGTGGAATCTGAACAAGCAGTTAGATCTACTACATCGGGCCACCCAGAATAGGAGACCGCTCAACATTGACAGTTCAAAATAATAGCCAAACATTGTAAGGATGAAGTGCACAAGGTTTACGACTCCTTGCCAACATGCAGATAGGAACACCTTGGAAAAATTAGGAAAAAAGTGTTTCAAGGGAAGTAAACCAAATTCCTATTGCATTTCTAACAGTGAAAATTCTTCAGAAAAGTTTTTTTCTGTAAAACCATTTTGAACCCTCCAAGGATTCAGAAATTGGTGATGATATAAAGTGGTTTTGTTTCAAAGACCCTATCCCATTTATTTTGCAAATGTAAACATTGTGAACACTGTTTCTGACACTGAAAGCCACTAGAGGGACTTCCTCATTAAGGACCTTCAAATATGTTAGTCCTTTATGTTAGACATCATTATGCCTAGCATAATGATGACAAATGTGGTTGATGGTTCTTATAGAAAAGCATTCGATTCTATTGGATTTGCCGTACATGTACTACGGTGGTTTTGTTAAAATACCCTGTCCCTGTACTCCAACAAATGTCAACATTACCTTTTGTGAGTAACAGCAATGTATACATGTCGCTAAGCATACCTCTGGTGACAGTCAATGAGACAGGCACTACAGGAATTTCCCCACAAACAACTTTCAGTTACTAACAGGTTATTTACTAAAGTGAGAATTCAAACTGAATTATACTTTATGTATCTCAGACAGCCACTGGAGTTGTTTCCTGGGTAACAGCACTGACGTTGAGCATCTCTACGCTCTGCATGGAGGAGCTGAATGTTCCTCATAGAGGTGCAATGATTCAATGCATCTCAATGAGAAGATGCTGATTGGTGCGGCGTGGCATTTTGCCGTGCATCATGTGCATTAGCCTCCCAAAGCTTTGCTATGGAAAAGCATTGGATTGGCTGAGATAATCAAGTTTGATAATCTCAGGCAAGGAGGCAGAGCGAGGGAGGAGCCAGCTGCAAGGAGACATGCGTTGTGCTTAGAAAAAGGTGAGTTCTTAAACTTTTTAACTTGGGAACAGGGAGGGCTTGGGACCTAAAATGAGTTTTTACAACTATAGTTGTAAAAAAACATTTTATATCCCCAGCTGCAGTTGTATAAAAGAACTCTATAGAGTTCTTGTAAAATTATGCCTGTCTGTAGTCATATACATGTTGAACTGAGAATTATGGGATAATTGTGTGTTTTGGTGTATAGAACATGCCCCTGCAGCATCACTGCTCAATCCTCTGCCATTTAGGAGTTAAATCCCTTTGTTTATGAACCCTAGTCACACCTCCCTGCATGTGACTTGCACAGCCTTCCATAAACACTTCCTGTAAAGAGAGCCCTATTTAGGCTTTCTTTATTGCAAGTTCTGTTTAATTAAGATTTTCTTATCCCCTGCTATGTTAATAGCTTGCTAGACCCTGCAAGAGCCTCCTGTATGTGATTAAAGTTCAATTTAGAGATTGAGATACAATTATTTAAGGTAAATAACATCTGTTTGAAAGTGAAACCAGTTTTTTTTTTCATGCAGGCTCTGTCAATCATAGCCAGGGGAGGTATGGCTAGGGCTGCATAAACAGAAACAAAGTGATTTAACTCCTACATGACAGTGAATTGAGCAGTGGAAATGCAGGGGAATGATATATACACTAAAACTGCTTTATTTAGCTAAAGTAATTTAGGTGACTATAGTGTTCCTTTAAATAACACACTACCATGAATTGCATATGGAGTACATATTTAGTTATATATTTTTTTAGTGGAAAGAATACATTGAGATATCACTCATATTTTAAGTATGATCTGTTTGAAAGAGGTGATACAGTAACAGTCTCTGCATTTCAGTGCTCTTTAGTTAAGAGAAATATTTTCAAGATGAAAGCATCTGCTTAAAGTTTAAGCTGGAATAATTATGCTCTACAAGGCTGTGTCCTCCTAAAATATACAGGATTTATGATTTGTTGAAAAGGCACATTATCATTAGTTTTCAAAGTCACTTTGACCAGTGGGTTAACGTAACTGATTGCCTTGTAAATTCCAACTGAGGAATGCTGAGGCAGCTGGTAAAATCTCAGCAACGCACTATATGCCTTGTAATATCTGGCTTGCAATGTATCACTGAGCAGTAACTGCCCAATACCGTACGCGAAGAGTTCTGCCAATGCCTTACACTCCAGACAAGGACAGATACCCAATTTTTCCAGATACCCAGCCAACTTCTCACTGCAGTAGATCTTACACATCTAAGATCAAAGTGATCTGGAACAGGTGTAAAGAGAACTAGATGCTCAATCACTCAGTTTACACAGATGGAAATATTTCGAATAAAACCTCTTTGCAACTTATGATTTGTTTTTTTTCCAAGTAAGTTTTTCCCTTACGACTAGCATATGCTTTTAAAAGGAAATCGTTCTAGTAGCTACAGTATATTTATTTCAGCATAAGGTTCACATGATAGCGGGTCGGACCATTAAAAAAAAAATATATATATATATATAAAATTGCATACTGCAATGAGCTAAATCAGTACATTTCAACATTATTATGAATTTTAAAAGATTCTATATTTCAAAATTATACTGTATGATGCTGAAAAATAGGCTTGAATGGTATAAGTAAAAATAAGATCTGTAGCTCAGGTCATTGCTATTAAGAATTTAAGTGGTACTATTGAAATAAGCCTTCCTCCTGCACAGGGATAGAAGTATCACTGCAGCACATCAATCTTCATACACACTTAGCAGTGACTCACGTAGGATAATCAGATTTTTCAAATGCCCACGAAAGACATTTTTTTAAATTTTGATCTGCAGTAGCAGCTCCTCAAACATAGTGACATATTTTTTGGGACTTTAGTTAAAGGGACACTCTTAGTACCAAAACCACTTACCAACACACGGTCAGTGGCTGAATGACTGAGCAGGTGCAATATAGATCACCTCCTTACCATGATCTCTCTCACTCTGACTCCCTGGGAATAGTTTCAGCCAGAACAAATGCAAAGGCTTGGCCTGCAGTTGTGGGAGGGGCATGTTACACTACTTAAACCTCCCTACTCACCTTCCTCCGTCCCGTACCTCATTTTAGCGATTCGCTTGTCGCTACTTCCGGTCGCCATTCCTCCACTTACCTGGTCCTCGTGGCTTCTTTGCCTGGCCTGCTGTTTCCCTGCTGCTTGTTTGTCCGCGGTCCTCCTGGGCTCTCTCTGGATCTCTGGTGGTCCCTGGCGCTCCAAGCCTTTGCTGTCAGTCCATGCGTCTCTCCATTTCGTGAGTTACCTGGGTCTGTCCCCCCTATAATCCTTGCACTGGTTTTCGATTTTTCTTTTTTCCTCGTGTCGGCTTGCCCATTTCGGTTTGTGAGGGCGGACTCTGCTGGCTCGTGCCCCTTGCTGTCCGGAGGAATGTGTCGCGTCCTCCGCGTCACCCCCTTTGACCGTGGCTCTTGGGTGGTCGGCTCTGCTGCGGCGCTGCGCGTCTCATTCTGGCATTCTTGGCTGTCGGCCCCTCGCTCCCTGCGACGCTGTTGTACGTGCACATCTGTACTCATCGGCGGTGTGTTGTGTGCAGTTCTGGATGCGGGTAGGTATCATTGTAATAGGTCGATCTAATCAGGACATTTCTGCATCAATATATTTCTAATTCAATAATTTTCCAAGTTAGTCCGCAGCAGACCCATTCACCATACTAGTGAATGGTTCCTGAGTTACACCTTGCCCTAGAAATCCTCCAAGGAACTTTTAGCTGGGCAACATTATATGTTTTGATTCTATGTGCTATAACTATAGCGGGTGCAGTGCTTTTGCCTAGAACCTCTAGAGGTACAGATCTAGTGTGCTTCTAAATGGCAACTTCCCCTGGCAATTGCTGTATCTTTTGGCTAATAACATAGAGTTAAATCAATAACCTGCAGCTAATTTAGGTTTGTTGTGCCAGGTTTAAAAAAAAATAAATCGACCCACATGCCATCCCATGTACATTCCACTCTTATGTTTTTCGTTACTGGGCAAGCGATGTGGCCCTTATGAGCCCCGTGGGGCACATTCTACATCCTTTTTTGTTCCATGCGTACTCCATACAGCCTGACCACCTGGATTCCGATAGGCTCACTCTGCCATCCTGTTACAGTCGGCTTTATGGTTATTCCTCCTACCCCCCCCTCATCTTCATCACACGGTACGTCCACTCTCTCACTCCTTACCCTCCCCTCTTAGTTAGCTGTTGCTGGCTGTCAGGGTCCTAGGTGTCCACTAGAAGTAATTTCCCCCTGGCTTTTTCTCCTTAGGTTAGTGGTCCCGTGAGGCCAACACCCATCCTCATACTCTGAGATACTACGCTCCTCGGGCCAAATCATAGTTAGTCACCTCACTGAGGCAGCTGGTAAAATCTAATTTGCCCCTCACACAACTAACTTTAATGTATGCTTTACCTGACAAGTTACCAACATCCCAATGACATGCTATACTGGTTATTGTCCCAGCATGTACCTGATGCCGTCTATCAGTTCTGAATGGTCTGATGCAAGCAGGAGGTAAATGGTGTAAGTTGAGACAGGGGAGAGTAGACCTCAGGAGTTTGCCTGTGACACCAAAAATGGTACAAAGTTTAGCACTCAGGGAAGACCATGTGCTGAGTGCTCTCTAAGTAGTAAATGCCCTGAGTGCACTTATGGCAGTGTGAGTTTGTGTAATGATACATAGTTACATAGTTGCAGAAAAAATACATGTTTCCATCAAGTTCACTTTTTCTCACATCTGTTTTTGCTGTTGGTGCAAAAGAAGCACCAGTTTGAAGCACTTTACAATTTTTCCACAAACTAGTAAGAAATTATTTTTTGACCCCTGAGCGGCAGTGAGATCTTTCTTTGGATCAAGGAGCTATTACACCACAAACTATAAAAAACCCTTTCCTTTGCCTTAGACTAAATCTCCTTTATTCCAGTCTAAATGTGTGACCTCGTGTCCTATGTATAGTCTTGTTTATGAACAGATTGTTTGTATTGGCCCAGAACATATTTGTAGAATTGTATCCTATCCCCCTGTGGCGCCATTTTTCTAAACTAAACAGATTTCAATTTGTTAACCTTTCTTAATGACTAAAAGGTTGCACCCCTTTTTATTAATTTTGTAGCCCGCCTCTGTACATTTTCTAGTGCCATAATATCCTTCTTTAGAACATCAGTCCAAAATTGCACAGCATATTCAATATACATAAAGAATCAAAATTATATGTTTGTCCTGAGAATTAATGCAGCACCTTGTCTTGAATCATTCAGTCAGAATTGTTCTACAAGTTTTTTGCAGCAATCATTTGCATATCTCTTGCCATAGATTCCTCCTTATTATAAGATGATTAAATTTAAAATGTCTGTGTTTTGCTGATCTTCTTTAACTAATACTCCCATTTCTGTTTTCAGTGTACCTATGCTTAATTTTTTTTAAATTTTTCTGGTGGTTTTTCTCTCTTTGTCTATCAATTTCTCATTTTCTAGTTTAGCCCATGTAATTGCCTTTTGCATGCATTATTGGCTTCCACATATCTTATATATAGCCGCTAATTTGCCTGATTTAAATACTTTAAATTCCCTTATCTTATTTTTAATGTCTTTGTTTACATTCCCACTAAGCCATATTGGTTTCACTTTGTTTGTTTTATATTTATTGCCTAATGATGAGCTGTGTACCTTTCTAATATTTGTTTGAAGATATTCCATTTATCCTCAGTGTTTTTTTTTTGTTTTTTTTACTAAGGAGTTTATACCAGTCAATATGTTGTAAAGTTACCCTAATCTTATTAAAATGAAATGTATGTTTTAGTATACCCCATGTGAATTTGCTTTTCAAAAGACACCATATTGTGATCACTATTTCCCAAGTGCTCCTCTACTTCAGTGTTTGCCAGAAAATCTACATTGTTTGTTATAACCAGATCCAGACAAGCATCCTCTAGTTGCTGATTCTACCAGTTGTGACATGGTGTAATTTAACAGGTTCAAACACCTGATACCCCTTGCTGAACTACTAGCCCCTCTATCCCAATTCATGTCCAGGTAATTCAAATCTCCAATAATTAACATGTTACCAACATGTGCAGCTTTCCGATTTTGTTCTAACAGCTGTTCTTCCCCATCAATATTAACAGGAGGTGGTTTATAACATATCCCAACCAATAACTGATTCTCCTTCTATTGCCCCAAGCAGATATCTACCCATAAAGCTTTCACATATTCCTCGTCATATTCCACTTGCTTAACCCCTTAAGGACCGAGGACGGGTCAGGACCATCATTGGCATTTTTGCCTTGACGACTGCTGACGGTCCTGAACCGTCCTAACGGTCTAAGTTACTTACCTGATCGCCGTCGTTCCCCCGCTGGCGATCGGTGGTGCTCCCGTTGTGGGGAGACTGCCTGCAGCCCAGACAGTCTCCCCACACTAGATTAGGACCCCTGGGGCCATGTGATCGCTCAACAGAGCGATCACATGGTCACAATAGGTGTCCATGTGTCTGCCTGCAGGGGGACTGCCTGTGCTGACAGGCAGTCTCCCTGCTAGTGTAAAATAAAAATAAAAATAAAAACTAAAGTTAATGTTACTTAAAAATAAATATATATATATATATATATCTCTATCTCTATCTCTATCTATATCTATATAATATATGTATGTGTGTGTATATATATATATATATATATATATATATATATATATATATATATATATAGTCATACTAAGTGTATTTTTATATTAATATGTACATATATTAATATAAATATCAATAAAAACGAGTGCACTCCAGAGGTCTTTTTTAGAAAAAATATATTAGGTTTATTGCAAAACGTGTAGAGTATACAAAACGATCTAGTCGACGTTTCAGTCCACGAAGGACTTTTATCAAGACAGTGAAAAGCGGGAACAGAGGAAATTTAAATATGGTGAAAACGAATTCTGATTGGAGAGTAAACAGAGAAAGAAGTGATGTCATAGGTGAAATGTGAAGGTTGAAAGGGCATAGCCCCGAGATAAGTTGTAAACCAGTAAAATGTGGACTGGTGAAAAAACATATAAAATATAAAAATACAATACATAGACAACCGAGGTGGAACAAATCCAAAAACTCAGGTGCCATATGGAAAACCAGGATATGTATAGAGGATCAGAAACACCACCCAAGGTACAGATCTACTAAATGTCTAAAAAAATACATACACAAACCAAATAACAGCTAGGGAGGCTAAGTCCTATAGAGGAATTTAGAGAGAAGAAGTGTATAGTTATATACATAATCACACAAGAGAGAAACAAAAAGTATCAAATTCTGATGGCACAAGATAATAAACATATGTAGCAAATAGTAGTAAATAGTAATAAACATATGTAGCAAATCTACTAGGATATCGAGCATATATTAACATTATACTTCAACCAAATAGCGAAAAATATCATTATCTAGTTGAAATAAAACAATTCAGAGGGTTAATCTCATTCAATCCTCCTGGGTGCATAGTTCCAAGTGTGAAGATCCAAAAAGCTTCCCTTTGAAGGAGAAGCTTATTTCTGTAACCTCCCCTCAAGGGAACCGGGACATGCTCAATACCCATGAATTTCAAAGTTGGCAATGTGTGTCCCTTTTCAAGGAAATGTTTAGATATAGGGGTGGATGCAACACCACTCGATAATGCCATTCTAATCGTCGATCTATGTCCCCTCATTTGTTGCCTCAAATCATTTGAGGTTTTCCCAATATACATGAGACCACGCGGGCATAAGATCCGATAAACAACGTGTGTAGTTGTACAGGTAATCCGTTGTCGTATCTTGTACTCTTTCCCTGAATGTGGATGAAAAAATTATTTTCCAGGAGTCATATTATTACAAGCCATACATTTCAAGCAGCGAAAACAGCCAGGGTTCTGATGTGTAACATGTCTTGATGCCAGAGTCCGTTAAGCCAGGACTCATTCCACGCACCAGACCATAGGAGAGTAATTTTCTACACCAGGATTGTATATATGGAGGAATTTTTATCTAGAGCAGGAGCACTGGTGGATCATGCTGAAGTGTTGCAATTCACGGAAGCAGAAGCAGCAGCTATACTCTGGCCGCAATCTGACTCGGACTTACCTGTCTCATCTGAACCACGGGACATTGTGAGAGAATTCAAAAGCTTAAACAAAGACAAATAGATCTTGAACTACATGCCATCTACCTATCAGACTACTATTGTATGAAAAAAATTCCAAGGGGCTTCCGGATCAAGAATGTTCCGACTATTGGTAGGAATAACCCTGAAGTCTGTCGTAAGTGGATTGGCATATTGAACAAATGTTCCTTAGATCTAATGTTGGTCGTTATCGAGGAGGTAGGTCGAGAATTAAAAATTACCAAGTTTAAAATCTCTGATTTTGAAGTGTTACACTCTACCACAATTGCTGCACCTAATTGCGATTTGCTGATTCAAAAATTAACGGAGGATTTGAAACAATATAAAAACGATCTTGTCAGATTTAAGAGAGAAAAATTGTCAAAAGTCCAGGCTGATTACTCTGAGC